TGTGGAGAAACATAAAAATCTAAACCGCGAGGAGCTCCGCTGCTCCGGTCGGCCAGTTAGAGCGGCCCGAGGGGGAGGACGGCCGTGCCCGTCCCAGGACCGTGTGAGACACAGGCGCTGCGCCCAGCGGCTCAGAGGTTCCCCAGGGCAGGCCCGGGAGAGGTTAAAAGAAGAAAAAAAGTTTGCGCTTTGCCTCCCCAGGGCGGATCCGCCGCTTCTTTGTAGCGGTTTCTGCGGCGACCTTGGGCTCCGGGAGTTTGTCTCCACAGTCTGCAGAGGTGCAGCGGCCTCAGTTCTAAGCGCGGGTATGTCCCTGTCCTTGGGTGTGTGAATTCTGAAAGAGCCAATCCTTCCAGATGGATCCTGAGTAGCTAACTGGGTATAAATTCAGAATGGAGCCCATCAGCATTGCTGACTAGCAATTTATGCAATGGGTCAACTGCTGCAGGGAAGTCTCACTTCGCCGCCTATAGACTGTAAACTGTAAAGTGGTAATTGGCCAGAACTCAGCAATCTAGAATACGTCTTTTGCGTAAAGGGCCAAACCAATCGGGAATGAACAAATTGAATCTCATCTGCATAGAAGACCGGAGTGGTAACCTGGGCGGGAACTTCTGCTGTGTAAGACAGACTGTTCTGATGGAGCGCACTGTCGTTTCGTACTGAAGCTGTATCTCCCCCGTTTGCAAACTGTTTGCTAAATAAAGTCTCCCTTTATATCCAAATTATTTTATTTTATTTTATTTTATTTTCTTAAAAGATGACCGGTAAGGGGATCTTAACCCTTGACTTGGTGTTGTCAGCACCACGCTCACCCAGTGAGCAACCGGCCATCCCTATATGGGATCCGAACCCGTGGCCTTGGTGTTATCAGCACCACACTCTTCCGAGTGAGCCACGGGCCAGCCCTATCTCCAAATTCTTTTAAAGTGAATTTGTTAACAGATGAAATGAATGACCCAGGACCAAAGCACATGGTCAGTGGCGACCAGAGGGTTCCAAGGCACGTGTTTGGTACAAGGCCTGAATCCCATTCTCCCTCAACAAAAAGGAAATTTATGTGCACAGATTCACCTAAAAGAACCTCTTCTGGTAATGGTCTTCGGACTTGTTAAACTAAACTGCTGAGATCCATGCGGTATTAACCAGAGAGCACTTGATAAAAACGACAAAAACTCTAAAATCTTCCTTTCCTCTGCCTCTTTAAAGTTGGCACAGAGACTTAAGAGGGTAACACAGAAGGTGTATGATAAGTCTCCATAGAACCCAGAGAACAGATTGTAAAATTCCTCTTTGGATCCTGTCCTGGGTCACCTCTGGACCAGAAGAAATTTCTTTACAGTTTAAGCACATTTGTGATATTTTTACATAGCTCATGACACAAATGATGAACTCAAACTTAACCTAGCTTTGATGGTACCTTCCCATGGGATCTGAACATCAAAGTAATCGACCCCTTTTTCTGACCAGAATCTGAGACAGACACTCTGAGGTTGAAGAAAAACTAAAACAACCCTCTGGCCAAGGGCTCAATATTTGGTTGGCATGGTAACTTCCTGAAATCCTGCTGTTGCCCAACAATCACATTCCTTCCCACACCCTACTAATTGTGCTGGTAAAGGGGGCTACCTAGGCTAAAAACACTGTATTTAAAATACCAGATGTAGGGCCGACCCCCGTGGCGCACTCGGGAGAATGCAGCGCTGGGAGCGTAGTGACGCTCCCGCCGCGGGTTCGGATCCTATATAGGAATGGCCAGTGTGCTCACTGGCTGAGCGCGGTGCGGGTGACACCAAGCCAAGGGTTGCAACACCAAGCCAAGGGTTGCAATCCCCTTACCGGTCAAAAATAAATAAATAAAAATAATAAAATAAAATACCAGATGTATTAGTCATTTTTTTTTGTCCTTTTTGAGACCGGCCGCACCGCGTTCAGCCAGTGAGCTCTGTGAGCGCACCGGTCATCCCTATATAGGATCCGAACCTGCGCCCTCCCGAGTGCGCCACGGGCTCGGCCCCATTTTGTGTTGCTATAACAGAATACCTGAGACTGGATAATTTATAAAGAACAGAGGTTTATTTGGCTTACAATTCTGGGACAGTTGCATCTGGCATGGGCCTCAGGCTGCTTCTACTCAAGAAAGAAAACGGCACGCAGCTGAAGGTACAAGCAGATCACATGGTGAGAGGAAGCAAGAGAGAGAGGAGGTGCCAGAGTCTTAAACAACCAGCTCTTGCAGGAACCAATAGAGCAAGATCTCACTCAGGTCCCTCTCCCCTGGGGACAGCATTAATCCATTCTTGAGAGATCCACCTCTATGACTCAAACAGCTCCCAACACTGCCACACTGGGGATCGGATTTCCACATGAGTTTTGGCAGGGACGAGACATCTGATCTGTCACCAGACCAACAGTCTGTTATCTGAATAAAAATGGATATGTCACTGTTGGCTTGGTCAATCTCCAAATCCAGCTCCGTCCCAGGCCCAAATGCAAATTTCAGTCTTCAGAATTGACCGATGAACTATGACCCATAACCAGCCAATCCGAATTGAACAAGCCTGTATCCTTCATTTGGTAAGAGGACCTCAACCGTTACCACCAGTAAAACTCTCCTATTGCTGGAGTGCCCCAGTAGTCTTTTGGATGACACTGGCAAAGTGTTGGTGTTTGACATTGAAAGCAGTAACAACCCACCAGAATGGCGTAAAGCTACTTTTAAAAAATTTTTTGTTTGTTTTTTTATTAGCATATTCATTATTACAAATCGTAATTTTTCTTTGTGCCCCTTACCCAACCTGTCACTCCCCAACCTCCATCCCTCTCCACCCCCCATCTCTAGTAATCTCAGGCTTGTTCTCTCCTTCGGAAAGTTCAACATATTATGGTCTTGTTTGTCTTTCTTTCTGTTTTTCTTTCTTTCTTAGCATCCAGTTATGAGTGAGGAAATGTGGTATTTCTCTTTCTGTGTCTGGCTTAACATAATTTTTTCCAGACTCATCCATGTTGCTGCAAATGGCATTCTTTTTTATGGCTGAGTAGTATTCCATTGTGTATATATACCACATTTTCCTTATCCACTTGTCTGTCAATGGACATTTAGGTTGGTTCCATATTTTGGCTATTATAAATATAGCTATGATGAACATGCGAGGGCAGGTATCGCTTCTGCATGATGGTTTCCATTCCTTTGGGTAGATACCCAGTAGTGGAATTGCTGGATCATATGGTAGTTCTACCTGTAGTTGTTTGAGAAAGCTCCATACTGTTTTCCATAATGGCTGTACAACAGTATAGAAGAGTTCCCCTTTTCCCACATTTTCACCAGCATTTGTTATTCTTGGTCTTTTTAGTAATGGCCAGTCTAACTGGGGTGAGATGATATCTCAGTGTGGTTTTGATTTCCATTTCCCTGATGTTGAGCATTTTTTTATATACCTGTTGTGCATTTGTATGTCTTCCTTTGAAAAATGTCTATTCATCTCCTTTGCCCATTCTCTAATTGAATTATTTGGTTTTTTTAGTGTATAATTGTTTGAGTTCCTTATTCTATCAAACTAAAAAGCTTCTACACAACAAAGGAAACCTTCAACAGAGTGGAAAGACAACCTACAGAATGGGAGAAAATATTTGCAAACTATATATCTCACAAGGAATTAAGACTACTTTAAACTGAGAACATCTGAAGCACTGCCTGAGATCACAAAGCCTCCCAGATCCAAACTTCAGTGGATACAAGCAACTGTTACCTACTTAAGCCATAAAATATCTCAGGATACTCTAATGTGCCCCCAAACAGCTCAAATCAGTTTTGTCCCTCCTTTTCCCCAAAGACAATCATGCAGACTTTAGGGGCAGCTGGCTAGTGCTGCCAGCAGATTCACAGTTTTACTGTTCCTGCCTACCTTTATATTCCCTCCCAGATATAACCACAAAAGCCTTTACTGAGGCATTGGCCTCCTTTGAAGCATTGAAATTAGCATTGTTCACTCACACACACACATCTGCCCTCAATTTACCCAATTTTGGTAAGCCTTTTCACCTATATTGCCACAAAAACAATGGGATATAGCTGTGGATATTCTAGAACTTTTTCCTCTCGAAGTCCAATAATATATTTCGCATGTCAGTTGGACCATGTGGCATAAGAAATACTTCCATATCTATGTAGCAGCCTCAGCTGCCATCCTAATTGACAAAGCCATTCCCCTTACACTAGGTTCCCCTGTTCACCTTTATGTTCCCCATGCTGTGTCAGCTCTCACCAGCCTGTAAAACAGAAAGCCTCCCTACTTGACAACAGACCAACTAACTCCTCTGTCATTGTGCACCTCTGTAATACTCTAAACCCAGGTACACTATTACCCCTCCCTGGTGATGGAGAACCCTACTCCCTTCCACATGATTTCCTTACAATGGTACAGATGGTTTCTAAACTACAAGACCTCATAGACACTCCTATGAGCAATACAGACTTTATTCTGTGATAGTGCTTATAAAAAAATTTTTCAGAGAAAAGTGATAACTGGCTATGCCATAGTGATTTTGGCAAAAGAGAAAACTACCACTAGTTACACTGACTAGATGTGCTTTGGAGTCCGCCATGCTATTGGCACAGTTTGGAAGCCCCATGGGTTCTTGATCTCTGTAGGTGCTCCTATTAATGATGGGCATGTCATTCCTACGCTATTACAGGCTATTTACCTTCCTACAGAAATTGTCATTGTTTATTACCCAGCCCTTACCCAGAATATTCATAATAATTTTATGAAATAATAATGCTGACAAAGCTGCTAAATGTGCAGGTGAAAACAGACCCCCATCTCTTCACTCAGCTTGCTACCCTACCCTTATCTCTGACTGATACTAACTCTCAGGCAAATGCCCCACAACCTAAAAAAGACAAATGGCCACAAAAGGGTGCCAACGAATTATCAGATGGATTATACATTGGGCCAAATGGACTTTCTGTAACCCCCTAACCTTTGACCTTTTGGCTTGCATAGTCACCCATCAAATGGGACATATTTCTATTCTTTTATGAGATGGTCAGTCAGGTGAGGTCACAAAGAGGAGACACAGGAGAGACTCAGGAAAAAACAAAGTTTATGATACTCACAGGTCTTAGAGACAGTAGCCATGCCTTGCTACACGGGGCCACATGGGACACCAGGATGTCAGGAGGCAGAAGACCAGAGTGAGGGAAGGTTTAGGCCACAGGCTTTTTGGGGTTTCCATGGGAAAGAAAAGGCAGTTTAGGATAAATAATTTTAGCAGCCTTCAGGCTATAGGGTACTCCTTAGTTGTCTGGCACCTGGTCCAGGGATGATTAAAGCAGAGGAATATTGCTTCCTTGGGTGTAAGGGCCAGATAGAAGAGGTCTGGCTCTGGATTGGTTAGTTTGCATATCAAAGACATGCTCCTAGCTGGACTCTTTGTCCTCTTTAAGAATTGGCTAGGCCCAAGAAAGCCAGTCTCTCTCCAGCCAGAAAGGTTTTTTTAAATGTGAAAACATCATAATATACAAAACATTTAAAAATTCTTACAATACATATGCACAGATGGGATGCCCTGGCATCCACGTATTTCTGACGAAATTATTTCCCAATGCACTACTTGTAAATCTCACTAAGATTCTGGAGGTAACCAGCATACCACAGGGGGTCCTCCAAGATCCACACGGCTCTTTATGGCACTCCAAGTGGACTTTATAGATTTACCTCAGCTTTAGGCTATTCTCACTGCATGTTTAGTGGATGGACTGTGCTATGCTATCCAACTACACATGCAAATGCCATAACAGTGATTAAGAAACTAATAACAGATTATTCCTTGTTTTGGCATTCCTTTAAGAATTGGATCAGGTCAAGGAACTCACTTAACAGCAGAAATAAATCACTTGCTTGCAAAGACTCTGGCATATTTATTAAAATTTCATATTCCCTACTATCCTCAATCCTCAGAAACATAAACATCTTTTATTGTTTTTGTTGTTGTTGTTTTTAATTTTATTTTGTCGATATACAATGTGGTTGATTATTGTGGCCCATTGCTGAAACCTCCCTCCCTCCTCCCTCTCCCCCTCCCACCCAACAATGTCCTTTCTGTTTGCTTGTCATGTCAACTTCAAGGAATTGTAATTGTTATGTCTTCTTCTCCCCCCCGCCCCTGGGTTTTGTGTGTGTGTGTGTGTGTGTGTGTGTGTGTGTGTGTGAATTTATTTATTTATTTTTATCTCCCACCAATAAGTGAGAACATATGGTATTTCTCTTTCTGTGGAGAAACATAAAAATCTAAACATAAAATGAACTCTAGAAAAAATCTGCTAAGAAACTAGATTTGAACAGCCATAAGCATTATTACTGGCCCTTATAAAGATCTGGAATACTCCAATTAGGAGGACCAACCCTTTCGGTTATAGTTTTGGAAAGAAAATATGCATCGTTACCTCCCTGGGTGGAGCCTTACAAAGAACTGACAACCAACTAAACTGCCATCAGAATAAAATTTCTGGACTCATACAACCAAGCCAAGCTAGATTCATGATCATCACATGACAACTGGAAGGCCATTCTTATGGGTTACCTCAAATTGAGGATTTCCAGAGCCTAGTCACAGACTCTAGAAGCAGATGACACCATGAAGTGGACAGCTTTACCCGATATCTAAGACCAAGAACATTGTGTCTGTCTATTTGACACGTCTCCCCTCCCCGACCTGGAAAATCCTCTGACCCAGAAATTTAAACAAAACGCTTTCTCTTTCATTTAATCTCCATTGGTTGGAGATTGCTTGTCTTAAATTTCCCTCTGTTCCTCCACTATTGGCTCCCTTTCAAACTATGTCTTGCTTCAACTAACTCTTACTGCTTTTTCGACAGTTCTAGCACAACTCCAAAACCTGCTCACACCAGTCTTCCAAACCCTGGCTACCTTAACTAACCAGTCTGATTTCTGGTTATGTCAACATCTGGATAATGCAAAAAACCCTGAACTAATTTCTGTTCCTGCCAATGCAAACATCTGGTAGACCCATTCTGGACAAGGGAAGTATGAAGGAGTATTGTATTCACAAGCAGGAAGACAAAATCATTTTACTTCTTCCTGTGGTAGAGTGATTTGGCACTGGGAAACCTCCATGGGAGCTCAAGATCTATCCTTTACTAAAGTGAGGCTCTTGGAGGAAATTTTTTCTCTTTGCATTTAAAATAAAAACTGCACTGGACCCTTCCTAGGTAACATGCCTAAACAATACTGTCATCAGACATTATGGTTTGATTCTACAGATGGCACCTTCAACCCTTCTACAGATCGTATAAATGAATCCAAGGCTGATTATTATGATACAAATGTTTGCCTAGTCACTGGACAATATTCCTGGTTTGCAGGTTGCACAAATGGGACCTGCAACAGCTCAGCTGTTCCTTGCTTTGTCTGCCAATACCCAAGACTACAAATGGGTGGACCAAAATTCTGGATTGACCTGGTCAATTAATGACACCTGTCTCTATCGCTGCTGCTGTGGATTGATGTCCTCCCAAAACTTAATTCCCACTGTCACAGTGTAAAGAGGGTAGGAAATCCTATTATAGTAATTGAAAGGTAGAGCCTTGAAGAGATGATTGGTCTGTAGAACCAGGCCATAGTGAATGGATTAATAATGATGGTCTGGGGCATGATTTTGAGAGCTTTTAAAGGAGAGCACATGAGAGTCTCTCTCTCTCTGCTCTGCCATTTTCTGCCATGTGAGACCCCTGCATTGCTGTAAAGCCACCACCAAAGAAGACCTTCACCAGATGTGTTTCCCTGGACTTTGGACTTCCCAGCCTCCAAAAATGAAAGCTTCTTCTCCAAAAATAAATTTCTTTTCCTTATAAATCACCCTGTATTAGTCTGTTTCCATTGCTTATAACAAAACACCTGAAACTGGGTGATTTATAAAGAAAGAGAAATGTATTACTTACAATTTTGGAGGCTGGGAAGTCCAAAGTCCATCTGGTGGTAGAGACAGTTACCCAGGGGTCTCATATTACAGGATGGTGGGAGCAGAGAGAGCAGAGGGAGAGCTGAGAGAGACAGACAGACTCTCCTCTCTCTTCCTTTAAAGCCCTCAGAACCATGCCCCTGACCACCATTTTTAATCCATTCACTACAGCGAGGTGCTGCAATCTAATCACCTCTTCAAGGCCCCACCTTTCAATTACCATAATAGGATTTCCTATCCTCTTAATGGTCACAGTGGGGGCCAAGTTTCTAATACATAAAACTTGGGGGATACAATTCAAGCTCCAGTGAGTTTGGGGAGGACATAATTCAATACACTGCACACCCAGTTCCAGGTATTTTGTTATAAGCAACAGAAATGAACTAATGCAGCTGCCAAAACCAAACCAAAGGCCTTCCCTACTGGATACAAGTGTTTTGCAACCTGTTTTGCTCTTACTGCCTGACAGAGGCACGTGGGAAATGGAGATGTGCAGATGCCAACATAACTAATGATGAAGTTGTGATGGACACCAGAACCAGTATGGTGGGTCAAAGGTTTCACTCTGGCCTTGTCTGTGAACAACCCAGGTATCTTTATGTTGCAATAAGGTATGTAAAGCGTTCCCACCTAAATGGTCAGGGCTATGTGAACTTGGATATCTGGCACCTACCCTCACCAAATATCTCACTTTAAGAGCTAACCAAATTACAAACCTGGGATATTTCATAACAAAGTAACACCAGATGAGACATCATAGACGATCCAGCCTATTATTACCAAAAGTCAATTCAAAAGTAAAAACCCTTTTTCCAAGTTTTGTAATTTATGATCTAGAAAAAGCAATTCTAGACATTTCTAAAGCAATAGAGCAAGGATTCAGTGCCACTATGCAGACCTCGGTAGCATGCCATCAAAAGTTAGCAGTTTTGGGCCAGCCCGGTGGCGCACTGGATAGTGCACCGCTTGGGAAGCGCGGCGGCGCTCCCGCCCGAGGGTTCGGATCCCACATACAGACCGGTTCCCGCTCACTGGCTGAGCGAGGCGCGGGAGCAACACCGAGGGTTGCAATCCCATTGCCGGTCCCGGTCCGGTACGGGCGCGACACTGAGGGTTGCGATCCGTTGCCGGACACGGAAAAAGACAAAAAAGACAAAAAAGACAAAAAAAAAAAGTTAGCAGTTTAGCCTCTGTACCCTAAAATCATTCATGTTCTGGATATACTGACCACCCAACAAGGAAGAGTTTGTGCAATTGTTGGCAAACAATGCTTTTTCAATGTGAATAAGACAGGAGAAGTAATGCCTAATCTACAGTATATAAAAGAACAAATTAACATCCTGCATCAAATAAGTAAGGCACAGTTGTTTGATTGGACCAACTTATTTCCAGGAGTGGGAGACTGGTTCAACAGAACATGGATCTGTGTGTTCATATTTGTTCTTTTCTGCTTATTTGTCCTACTCTGTTCTTTGCCTTTTAACTCCTGACTTCTGTTTCAAGTCTTCTCTCCACAGCAATTGACCCAACACCTTATCAATGAAACTTCATGTCAAGTTGCAAATTATTCCCTGAGGGACTGACAACCCATCAGAGTGACACAAAGACTACCTTAACCTGAGAACATCTGAACAAACAGCAGCTGTAGGGGGAAAATAAAAAAAAAATTAAAAGAAAAACTTATCTAAACTTCCATTTGATGAGTAAAGCAGGCCTTTCTGAGAATTCAGCCACCATAAACCCCCTCCGAGGGAGCCTCCTGTAAGGAGGAGACAAACTCAGCAGTGAGACCTCCTGAAGAATAGAATTATATGAATAAGTTCTATCAGAACCTTCTATGCTTTCACTCTGAAGCCTTAACACATACTCCATTAAGCTGATATATAAACCTTTACCCTTGGCTGTTCTGAGATCTACTCCTTATGTAGTGCTCTTGCCTGCATCAACTTTTTTCCTATTAATCTGTCTGTTGTTAATCGATTTGCAGGCCTCCAACCACTGGAACCTAATTTGGTAGAGGAAAAGTTTGTCTCCCAACAACACTTTCTAGACTTTTCTGGATAGACCAGAGAGTGTGTTTGAACAGATAAGGGAATTTGAAAACTTGATTTTTTTTTTTTTTGAAGGTGGAAGAATCTAATGTATGCATCAACATAAGACATTCTCCTTTTAAATTTGTCTCAAAGAATAAACTTTGGGTAGTTATACTGTGTATTTCAGAACTAGCTGAAAAATTTTTATTTCCTTTAGGGAGAAAGCTACAAACCATTTAAGCTGGTGCTTATAACAAAATACCTAAAATTCGGTAGTTTGTTAAGAAAATGAAATTTATTGCTTACATTTTTGGAGGCTGGGAAGTCCAAAGTCCAGGGAACACATCTAGTGAGGGTCTTCTTTGGTGGTGGCTTTACAGCAATACAGGGGTCTCATATGGTAGAAAATGATGGAGCAGAGAAAGAGTTCCATGCACTCTCCTTTCAAAGCCCTCAGAACCACACCCACAACCACCATTACACCATTAACTTAATCACCTCTTTGATGCACCACCTTTCAATTACCATAATAGGGTTCCCCACCCTCAACTGTTACAGTGGAAATCAAGTTTTGCGGGGGACATTCAACCCAAGGCAGCTGGGATGATCTGCGCTTTCCTGACATCCTGTGGGCATTTTAGTCTATGGTCTAATGGGGTGTTTGTCTGGTGTGAGTTGTAGCATCTTACCACCATGGGCAGCAGATGGGAGCGGGACTGTAGGGACAGTGTAGATGGAGCACTTACTGTGTTCAACACTTCACTCTACTCAGTCCTGTGGTGAGTTCCTTATATGTGTCTTTCTAGCTAATCCTCACGTATAGTGCTCTCCCCATTTTGCAGATGATCTAACTCAAAGGGTAGATAACTTGCTAATGATTATAGTGTTACTGAAAAAGAGCAGGATGCAGAACAGTGTGTCTACTATATTATCTTTCATAAAAGAAAGGGAAATAAAAAATATATACATGTATGTATTTGCAAATAAAACAGGAAGGATAAGCCAGAAGTTAATGAAAGTGATTACATATAAGATGGGTGGACAGTGAGATGCCCACCTCCTTTTTAAGAGCTGAATATAAACAAATGAATATTGTAGCAAATTGATAATTTATTAATACAGAATTATTATTTCAAGTTACATTAAAAAACAGTACTCTGGGTACATCCTGAGAGGTGCGTTTATAGTAATGTTGATGTTGTCATAAGAAGGTCAGAAACAAAAACTATTCCAGCAGTACAGGGCACAATAGAAAGCCCCTTGAGCTACAGGAAGGATATAGGACTTCCTGTGTGTGTTGTACAAAGTGCAGTTAAACTCTGGCATCGAAACTAGAGAAGCCAAGCAACTTTCAGCACTGAGTATTTGTGGTACTTATTTAGCCCTTATTTCACAATGTCAAGTGCTAACAAAGTTAAGGGAAACACGTAATGAGGATTTAGTCACGGGAATGTTAGAAAATGTCTATTGGGAGGATAAAGTCTCATTTATCAAATAGCATGAATGATTTTGAGATGTGGTAAGCCACACAATATTGGGTTAAAGACTATGAAACTTTAATGCTTCCCTCTGTAAGGTCTGTAGGGCATGAAAAACCACAGAAAATAGTTTCACCAGGTAGAGGTGGTGGTTACACAGCATTGTGAAAGTAATTTCATGCAATTGTATGTTTTAAAATATTTAAAATAACAATCTTTAGTTTATACATATTTTACCACCATAAAAATTAAATTTTAAAAAATTCAAAAAATGTGTTTCTACAGAAATTCAGACTCAGTAATTCCATCAGAGCAGAAAGCAACTCATTATATATTAGAAAATTTAATTTTCCAGTTCACTTTAAAATTTCCTTTTTTTTTCTGTGACTGAAGCTTAGAAATTTAATTCCATATGCCTAAATGTGTCAACTGTAAAATAGTTTAATATCTCTACTTACCTCATAGAATTCTTAAACAAAACAAAACAAAACAAACAAAAAAACTAATGCCATAGGGAAATGGCAAACATTGTCCAGAATATAGTGAATTCTCAATTGTTACTTTATTTTTAATGAGTATAATTTTATAATTATGTCTTGTTTAGTAAGATAATTACCATGACTGTGTCCTATATGTTTTCTCTTACTGGTTTGTTGTATGTCAAATTTATATGTAGTAACTTAAAATTAGAAGTGAAGGGAATTATAAAATTAGTATGGGTCCTGTATTTATTAAAATGGTGTATAAGTTACTGCATACAAAATGTTATTAATGTTATTAATGTTGGTATTTTAACCTGGTATTCTAAACTTGTATCTGAATGACAGTATAACTTATTTTTTGACTTAAGGTATATTTGGCCTAGTATTATTATGGCTACCTCTGCTCTCATTTGGTTAATGTTTGCATGGAATATGTTTTTTCTACTTTTTGCCTATTTGACTTTTCAAATCTGAAGTGAGTCTCTTGTCGATAGCATAGAGTTGGGTCTTTTTTTATATATCTTTAGCCAATTTAATCTGTTAATTGGTGCGTGTAAACAATGTATATATAATAAAGTTGCTAAAAGGGAAAAAACTTACTATTAAAAAAAGAAAATAGTTTCAAAATTCCTAATGATGGACACAAAGGCATTTTTGTTGTTCAGATTTTAAATCGTTTTATAGGAAAAAAAAAATCTTATTTTTGCCTACTCTACACCCCAGAAAAAAATCTCTTTCTATCATTTTGCAACAAATGAAGCATAAGACACATTGGCTGGAAAAAATGGTTTTTATTTATTAGCCAGTTCAAAGGATCACCAGACATTTTAGCTTCCTAATTCCTTCTACATTTAATTAATTAAAATTCTACTTAAGGAAGATATATTATTCTATAATTATCAGTATGGACTCATGGATATGAGGGTACTTCAAAAAACTCATAGAAAGATTCAAATTTCAATTCCATTTTTTCCATGAACTTTTTGAAGCAGCTCATGCATTGTTCTTTGAATTGTAATCCAACACTGTCGTGATGGTATTCAAATTGTTCCAGCTTTGGCCTTTGAAAACTCTTTTAAGTTGACTCCTGTATCCTTTTGACATGCTTCCTTCCTCTTTTTGCTTTGATTTGTTTTGTTTTTTAGCAATTTTTCACTTTCTGGTGCTTCAGTATGCTCCAGGCTCACCTTGTATTTTTCCTGCCCCACCCTAGAATCAGTCATTTTTTTATGGTTCTTCATACTGAAAAATAGTTTTGGAAACCAAGATCTGAGCATGAGATGTGCTCATTGCTACTATTACTAGGGTATCCAGACACCCTTTTGGTGGACAAAGCTATGATATGTATGTATATATGTTCATCCGTGTATACATAGATACCTATATTTCTATATCTGAATATCTCAATATCTCCAACTCCCATTCAGCCTCAGGGATTAATTCTAGCCTCATCTTACCCTTTGCTTTTTGTAACTTCTTTTCTGTGACAATGAAAAACCTGTCTCCTATTATCTACATAGTACTTATTTATTTGTTAAACTCTATTATATGTGTAATGTATGTACAACTGTAACTCAGTTACGTAAAGTAGTTATGGGATTGCTAACCTGTGCCCCTATAAGAAACAAATTTACCAACTAGAATGTAGAGTTTGCCTTTTTGTGTTTAGCTTTACAGTATCCAGTCAAAACATTGTTTTCAAAAGTTGTCAGCTTTCACATATATATATACTTTAAATGTTGATTCATCGTTATTAAAATCTAATCTAGATACAAAATGGAAGCAAACCAGAAAACTGCTTAATTCACTTAAATCATGTAAAGGAATTGGGATAGATTTGTCATTCAGTTCTAATCTTATGTAGATGGACTACTGGAGGACAAATACTTTTTATTCTTCAGGTTGATATCTCATGACTTTATAAAACATAGAATATTTAACTGTAGCAGTCTTAACCAGCAATCAATGCCACTGCAAAGGAATAATTTAGGGAGAACAATTGCATTATTACCTTGCAGCAATTCTGCAGCATGTGACTGACTTTTGAAACCCACAAGTCTGCAAAATCAAAGGTGAAGAAAATGCCCATTCAACATAAAAAAAAAGTCATGGTATGAGGGTACTACAAAAAGTTCATGGAAAGATTTGTATTATCTTTCAATTCTATTGTATATAAGTAATTACAACTGTGAGGAAATGTGTATAATAAAAATAGTTGTTTTAGGAAAATATAGATGATTTTCTCAATTTTCTAAACTGAATGCCTTAGGATGTAATAATTAACTTTTGAGGGAGATCTTTGTGGTGATATAATAATTCTGAATCTGAATTGAGATGGTTACATGAATCTACACATGACAAAATGAGGTAGAATTACAGAACATTGGCACACATGTCTCATGTCAATTTTCTGGTTTTGCTATTGTACTATAGTGACTTCTGCTAGAGGAATCTGGGTGAAGGGTACATGGAGTCTCTCTGTACTATTTTTGCAACTTTCTGTGAATTTATAATTCAGAATAAAAACTTTAAAAAATTAATAACATTTTGGAACCTTAAATTAAACTAAACATTTGTGTGTGTGTATGTGTGTGTGTGTGTGTGTGTAGTGTGTGTGTGTGTGTGTGT